CATTTAAAAATTAGAATGAAAACAGCGCCCGAAGGACATACCCGAGCGCCCGTCCTTTGCCCAAATCATACCCTGATCCCGAGATCCATCCCAGTCTTGGATTAATTACAAAACAGAGATATTACTACCCTTAACTTGGTCATACAACATGCAAGTTGCAATCAATCTTAAAGGTACCATTCCAACCTGTCAGAACCTTGATCCGAAGAACTTTAATCCTTATGTTGTTGTTATGTTAACTCTGGAGCGGCTGTGTGGCTTCACCCCACGCAGGTTTTACATGTCTAAATACACAATCATAATCTTATTTACACATGTGAAAACAGAAACTTCATCCTCATTTGAGTTGAGGTTAGACCGGGTGACCTCAAGGTGTTGGCGTGGGTTGCCTTAATGGGAGATTTTAAGTAATTAAGTGTACTATGTGAAGGGCGTGGTAATGCTGGAATGACTGAGAGAGAGAGAGTTTGTTTAAGAGAGAGAGAGAGAGAGAGAGAGAGAGAGAGAGAGAGAGAGAGAGAGAGAGAGAGAGAGAGAGAGAGAGAGAGAGAGAGAGTTAAGCTGTTCTGTGAAAAAAAAGAAAAAAAACAAAACAGAAAGAGAGAGAGAGAGAGAGAGAAGAGAGAGAGAGAGAGAGAGAGAGAGAGAGAGAGAGAGAGAGAGAGAGAGAGAGAGAGAGAGGCAGGCTTATGGTCCTTAAAAAAATCCAGCCTGCAGATGGTAACTTTAATTCTCAGTGAACATCTAAATTGCTACTTGTTCTTGCAACCTAGAAGGTCCCGTCATCAATACCGTTGCAAGAAAGAGCGATAAAGATCCACGCAAAAATATTTCATTATAGTTAAAGTATTCACACAAAATATAAGGCTCTCCTTTACCACGCAAAACGATTTCATCTTCGCAATGTTAATTATTTTTCCGAAGAATATAATATTTGTTATGATGCAATATGATTTCCTTTAAAGCTATCCCGAAGAATATAATCCCTTGTTTTTAATACGCAATACGATTTCACTATAGCATTGTTATAGCTTTGGCGTAGAATGCAATATTCCCCCCTTTTCATTACATACTGGCATCTCATTACGACGCTGTTCAAGTTTTTTCCGCATAATATAATGCTCATCATTTAAATCACGCACTCGATTTAATTACCTTATTCAAGATTTCACGTAGAGTGTAATGCTCTCCATACCTGATATTCTCTTCGTCTTACCTCATGCAAGATGTTTTGTGAACTCAAGTACAGGAGACGAAGCTAGCAACGGTTCATTCACAAAATCGTTCCCTGCTAAAACTCAATAGACATTCATTCATTATCTTACGAACTTATTCATCACTATCTTCTGTGAACGCACTATGTTTATGAAGAAATATATTTCCTTGCTTGTGCTGAACGTCGATCAAAATTACCAATATTTTCTTAACCTGTGTTTTATAGACATTATGCCTCAATTACTACTGTTGTAGTAAATTCCCACGCGGATTGAATCAGAGAAATATGATATGTGAATACGATTTATCTGGCGTGTGTGACTGTTGCTTCTGCATTTGCTTTCTACTTAATCTCTTCTCTATTTCTTTTCTTCAGTTGATCAGTAGGTTCTGTGCCTATCATATCAACTACATCGAGAATTCTAGATTTGAAGGGAATGTCAGTTATTCCTATGGTGTCTTTTTGAAACTATGATTCAACTTGGGCCCTGTGAAGTATTTTTCTAATGTAGTTTATAATCCTCGCTTTCCATCTACATAAATTTATCATCCATGGAAGTTGTGCAAAAATCCGACATATGCTCGGGCGAAATAAGTGTTATTTCTAAAATACTATTTGACTGTTAAACAGATACACTTCTAAAGACTCTTTCATCAGAACAATTGATTTTTTCCTCAGAACCATAAACAGGATGGGCGAATGGCGAAAACGTCTCTTCTGTGCATCTTAGGCTGTTTTGTATTTAGTTGCAAAGCATAAAACGGAAAGGTGTAAACAGGCGGCAGAATTTAAATCAATCATTAATGACAACAATTCTATCAACACGTCAAAGATGGCTTCCGACCCCAACAAAGATGGATATAAACGTTTGAAGGTCGCTCACAGGTTTAACAAAGGATCCAAAATCTCAAAGGTCAGATCTTTTATTTGGTAAAGAGTGGGTGCGGCCCCTGACTGAGAAAAACGGAAGGCCTCCTCACGCATTTCATTAACCCAAACTATCGTACCCGAAATAGAATTGCCTTGTGTGCTGACTCAGCCGTGCTCGGGAAAACAAGTATCGCTACACACACACACACACACACACACACACACACACACACACAAAAAAAAAAAAAAAAAAAAAAAAAAAAAAAAAAAAAAAAAAAACTTGACAGAGTAGCGTGGGGTCATAGTACTATGTCAGGGACGGCCGAGGCAGATTAAAACCCTTGTCTCCTCTACTTGCCGACCTGCTAAACCACTCATGATTTCAGTTTTTGCTCAGTTCAGTGGATGAAGTGATTATTCATTTAGACCGTGCGTTTAGCAGTGATGTCTTCACTCCTGCCAACTACTGTTTTACCGGGTGTGTCTTTACCTCTTCAAGGTGTATGAGACTCTGTTAGACGATATACGGATATTTGAGTGTATTTCATGTGTCAATATATACTTGGTTAGACTATTAGAACATTAACAAACATTTATTTCATTTCTTAAAACCAGACTTACGTGCTATCCTAAACTCTCAGAAATAACTATTAGTGTTTCTAAATCTGAATGCTACACTATTTCACCCTTTATCACATAATGCAACTGAATGGGCATGAGACCATAATGGGCAATCTACAAAGGATAACTATTTAACTTTTTTTTTTACGGCCACGCCTCCTCTAGAAATCCGGCCGCCCCCCCCCCTTACATAAATTAAAAGAACTCCCTTCCATGTCTTAAAGAAAATTATAAATTCTTATTGAGTATATTAGTCACACGATTATTAAACGAAGCATTTGGTTATACTCTCGTTAAGAGGAATAACAAATATATAATTCCTGATTTTTTCCCAAGGGATCGCGCCCCTCTTGGAAATTGCTGAGGTCGTATAATTGACATTCATAAATAAAGAAATAAATGCATATTTATCGGTCTAGACATACATATCAAACGGGCAAATAGATAAATGTATGTCTGTCAAGTATATGGACAGATATGAATTTATTTTTTGTGTATAGGCATGTCTGTATTTATGAATATTCATTAGGTAGGGCCTAGCACAATTTGAACAAACCGGCAGCTAGTCCTTAAAAGGTTAAAAACTTTATAATCAGTAACATTAATTTAATTAATCTGGAATAAGCCTTGTAAATGAGTTTCTAGATTAATGTTGTTGTTTTTTTTTTTACATAATTACCGACTATGATAAAATTTCTACTGACAATATTATAGAGCATATTCTCTTGTAAATCATGTATCCAATTCTTTATTACTAGTACTGTAAACATCTTATCCCAAACACCAATATCTATTTTCAGCTCACTACCCTACACCAATAAGAACATGATATTAAGAAAGCACTGTTAAAAAAATACATATATGGTAAAGTTTATGACAGCAACAGACGTAACATGAGGACCGTGTGATGACCGGGCAAATAGCTAAGAGGACTACTGATGAACAAAGAGATAGAAGAGAGTTCAAAGCGACGAGATGCGGGTTATTTTGTTAAGGTTAAACGACATTTCGTCCGATAAAAGACGTTGAAACAAGAATACATGGTTTGAATAACGTGGCGGGCACTCATGAAATATAGACAAAGTGATATCATTGTCTATCAAATGTCAAGTATAAAAATCCATGTATGCATACGCGTCTGCAGTGGTAAGCGGATACCAATCAAAGAACTATATTTAGGTTAAGGGTTCGATTTCTCATTGTATCGACTCTTTCACGCATGATTTATTAGAAGTTGCTAAACCTTTTTTTTCAACAGGAATTACACTTAACTCGCCGTCTTCTTCCACACAATCACGAAAAATAATCCTTATTTTTAACAATAGGAATTACATTTTTACTCGCTGTCTTCTTCCAGTCACGAAAAAAGTCGTAAGCATTTATGGTTTATTGCTTTTAGTGATGTTTTTCACGGGACTCGCGTTGTTTAAGAGGCTGTCACCTGCGTGTTTATGGCGTTAAGGACATCCCGAGGTTCATGTAGACTCTGCTTATGACCAGCATTACGTGGAAAGGTGTGTGTTTAGTGCCTGTCGAGTGTGTTTGTCGAGCGCGAATTATGGCTGTTCCCTTGAACTATATTTCTTTCTCTGTATGGCGTATTTCACGTCTGTACCCACTCTATTCTAGCACTATGTAACAATCGTTTCATTATCTCATTAACCGCGTTTTACTTTTTTTTATGCGACAAGTGTATTATAAATAGCTGTGAACAAACGTCATTTGTCATCTGCCGTCACAAACCTATCCTAACCTTACTTTATCATAATGACAATTGTAATAATAACCTAACGTGGCAGCAACTCAAAGCCGGGTTGTTGTGGTCGTGTTACCGTCGTGCATAGCCATTACACTGCATAAACAGTGATAAATGACAACTTTGTTAAAGCGCCGATTACACTGTTGGGATCGCCGCCTCGTGAGTGATAAGTGCAAAGGTCTTAGCACTGCCAAGACTTGGGGGCGTTACTTCTCGCAGACATTAGGATCATTACTTGTTTCTCTAATTTAAAACATTTCAAATTTCTCTCTTCCTGTTTTGTCTCTCCTTATCTAGTTATTCCTTCATCCTCTTTTCTTTCTTTCTTTCTCTCTCTTTTTCTCCTTTTATTTCCATATATATAGACCTAGAGAAAGTAATAGCAGACAGTACTTAATTTCCAAGGTCAAATATTACGAATATTCCGTTAGTCTGTAACGTCATCCTTCCTTTACCGAACATATAAGCGAATCAGATTGAACAGAAACCAATGAACATAACATTGCCCCCCTAAAAAAAACACAAAAAACTTACCTGTGACCTCCCTGAGGACGGCGGCGAGCGAGTCCCCCTGAGCATCCGTCGCGACCGAGGGCGTGGGCACCGCCAGCACCACCAACGCCACCAGCGCCGCCGCCTCCATACCTGATCGCCACCTCACCATGTTCTCGTGGCTCCCTCTCCCTCGGTGCTTGTCTCTCCGCCTTGTATGAGCCGAGTCAAAGGCGTAGGGGACAGAGGAACAGGTTCTGGCTCACTCAGAACCAAACGGAACTCCTGGGACTCTGAACACGTTTAAATAGCAGTGAGGGCTACATAGCTACAAGCAGGGAGCCGCTTGTCTGCGCGTGTGATGCACTAGGACATCGACACCTGTCTGGCGGAGAGGTCACTGCCACCGCGGTCTGAATCAAGAGCTTTTTCGTGGCGCCTGAAGACCCTTGACGTACGCAGCATGTAGGTCTACGTAAAGGGTTAATCTTTCGAAATGCGGGAAATTCTGCTGCTAAGTTTCGAAATTTCCAGTCAAGAGTTGGGTGCAGTAGGCGGGCAGCTTTGACGGAGTTGCCGCGTCCTGTTAGGGTGCCACCGCGCGGGTCAGTGTGTGGCACTCCGGAGAGGGCTGTCATGACTCCACAGTTGCCAGATGTCTTGAGACAAGAGGAATATTTATGCAAAGGCGAATGATAATTCTCTCCTCTCACCAAACCCTCATGAAACAAAGAGAAAGAAACGGACTGCAACGAGACAACTCGACAGAAAATATGGTTCACTTATTCCAAATGTCGGATAAGGCCGTTGGTGACGTCACTCATGATGAGGATGGCACTGGCACGTCTTCCTGTCTATTTTCCTCTTTCACCTTCTCCGCGACGCCCGTTGACCTTGTCGCCGCTACCTCGCGATTGTCCTTCTCTTCGCTTGGGAAGGAGCTCTTCGTGTCACTCAAGCGCCGCTGATCATCCTCCTTGTTTAATTACACACGCACACACACACGTGTAGTGTATGTATATACACACACAGATACCTACACATACATACATATACACATACATACACACACGCACACACACACACACATATATATATATATATACATATATATAGATATATATGTGTATGTATATACATACATACATACAACACACACACACACACACACACACACAGTACACAACACACACACACACACACACATATATATATATATATATATATATATATATATATATATATATATATACTATATATATATATATGTATATTATATATATATATATTATATATATGTATGTATGTGTGTGTGTGTACACACACACATATCTATATCTATCTATCTATATCTATATCTATATATATATATATATGGATACGTGTATATATACATATATGTACACACGCACACATATATATGTATATATACATACCCACCCACCCACAAATATACATACATACATACATACATACATAGAGAGAGAGAGAGAGAGAGAGAGAGAGAGAGAGAGAGAGAGAGAGAGAGAGAGAGAGAGAGAGAGAGAGAGAGAGAGAGAGAGAGACTCCAATCGTCTAGTCCAGCAGGAAGCTAAGAATGTCAATATCCAGAGATTTTTTTAAACGCTTCCCCCCCGCACATATATATCCAGCCACGCCGATGGTCCGCATCGAAATCACAACCATTTTTTTTCTTTTACCATTTTTTTTCTTTTTTTTACGTATAAGACATAATTGATACTCCACTCGACGCGATGGCCAACCAGGTGGATCACATTCACCCAAGTTAATCCTTGAAGTGTCTCTATTACACTGCCAACCAATCGTTTTCACTTCATTATCAGCTCCCATCTATCGCCACTGCTACTAATGTTTCTGTTATATCTATTTCTCCGTTATCCAACTCTCGGCTGAATATCGGAAGATTGATTTCATGTTTATTCCTTGTTTTTACTTTCATTTAATAACCATTTTAATGGAATAAACTGTTTGAATTTAAATTTGAATCTGTATTCTCACTGTCGTCGTTTTTGCATTACCACTCCGCCACTCTCGGTCTCTTACGACCGTTAACAACCCATCATTGCTCTTTATTTTTTTCTGAGCACTTCGGCCTTGTTTATCACCTTGGTCATTTTTATGACATTTGCTGAAGGGCGTAGTTTTAGATGCAAAAAGACAGTTGAAGAAACCACAGGCATTGTTTCCTGTATCATATCTGCAGAGTTGTGGAATGCGTAAGAGGCCACGGTAAATTTGGAAATGACGCTTAACTCCAACTTCTGGGTGAAAATTATGTGAAGTGACTCTAAGTACGGCAGAAAAGCCTTCGATTAGTGCCCTGTACATGCGTGTTAAAACAAAACAAGATGACGGCTTCTCGACATGAGATACCACTCTCATTTAGGTTAAGTTCGCACTTATTACCCAGAAATTTATATACGCATAAGTGTGTCGTACGCCTAACTGAGAAATCGGATATGGCTGTCATACGCGTAACCTCGGCCTTTTCTGAAAGCTCTCGAACGAATCTAGCGCCCATATCCCTCGCAAGCGAAGCACAGATACTATATCGCCCTCGATAGCTGTGGAGGGCATGGTATCAGGGAAATCACGGGGAAAAGCGAATGATCGAAGGGGAACTACCACCCGCCATACCCGGGAAAATTGCTGGATCCTGCACCGATTTCTTACCTTGACCATTAAATCCACATTGGCCATCCTGGGAGTCGTCAAAATAGTTGCTGCTCGCCAAATATGTGACCTCTGCGCCGCTTTTTCGTTACTGTCGTATTTTGTATGTTAAAGGCGAAACAGCTCCTTACACACAGGCTTTCCATAACGGAACTGCTTTGAAATTTAACGGACTTCCTTCGGGTCCAGCTTCTATAGCCACGTGATTATCTATTTCAAATCTCATTGGCTCTAACAGACCGGTCGCTCGTGTCTATTATCACGTCACAGCCAAGTGCAAATCCCATTGGCTCATTTGATTTCCTTCGCTTACGTCACCCGCTACAATTCCATCCGATGATTTCGTTGCTTGATAGATTTTGCGTCATTTTTTGCTTCCTACTTTAAGAGTACTTGTCTGAAACGTCTGGAATTTTTGAGTTTCACATCTTTCTACTAACCTTAGTATTAGTCTGCGATGGAAATGATATAGAAGAAAAGGGTCTTAGCAAGTTGCGTTCCATCGAATGACAAGGTAAGTGATTTTTTTCTTTTCTCTTTTCTTTTACAATACCTTCGCAAAATCAATCGCGACGGTTTTGGTATCGATGGATTCCTTTCACTCTAGTACACATGCATGTATAAATTATGTCGCGGAACTCCCTAAACCCTCACATTCTTGGCCCCGATAGCATCGGAAGGTTTGAAAGGTACCAGGGAAATTGCGGGGTAAAATATGAATAATGTGCACAGAATCACTCACTATATTGCTTTATGCTGCAGGCTGTACCCCGCTGCGACCTCCCATTATGCCTGGAAAAATTAATACCATGCCGTGAATATCTGGAGGATTGTCTTCCGTTGTGGGGTCTGAGGATTACCCCGTAATTTCCTTGATGCCTTTCATGCCCTCCCCTGCTATCGGGGCCAAGATTGTCGCTTTTATGAGGGGGAGGGGGGTTAACGACGTAATTTCGATATATTTGGGTACTACAGACACCCAAATCATCGCTATCAGTTGTGCGAAGGTACTCTGAAAACTTACCAAATTCAAGAAAGCAAACTGAATTGACGAGTGCCACTTATAAACATCCATGAGTGTTCATCAAAATAATGTCGAAAGTAACGTTACAACTGATAATTATTTTGAAAGGGACGCAAATTATTTCACAAATTCCTCCATTTCCGGCTCTCCCTCGGGAGCCTCGACCAGCGTCGTCACAAGAGCAAGGACGCTCAACTTTTGCTTTCCTCTGCTCGTTGCAAGTGCCTAGTTTTCGGAACTTTTAGAAAATACCTTTCTTACCATAAACCAGCGTTTGCACTAGTAACAGTTCCTCATCCTTACTTTAGGCAGGAATTGATAGCAATAAAGGTTGCATACTGGGGGAGACTAGCAATTGCAAGAATATTCGTAATGGCAACCAACGATTTCAAGCAGGATGTTAAACAAGCACGACGTCACTCTCTTGTCAGGGAGAAATCAGGGAAACGAAATCAAGAACATATCCTTATATATTTTACTGTTTAAGCATATAATCTAGAGCATCTCATTAGCATCCATTGTTTGTTTTTAATTAAAAAAGCATTTCTTTGTTTATTGCGTCCATGGTACTGTATTTAATTACTTCATCTGTTCACATGTGTAAATTGTATATGTATGAGAGGGAGAGAACGAGAGAAACAAAGAGAGGGACACAAAGAAAGAAAGGATTGACAATGGCGTGCAGAGGTCTGGTGATGTCAGGGGCCAACTCCTTGATTGTATGCCCCAGACTCAAATATAAGGCCTAGTACTTGGAAATATTATAAAAAAGGGAGATATTTTATGTAAATACAGATATTTGATTTTAATATAAATGTCAAAATCACTTATTTCCGTCAGATTGGATGCCCCCCCCCTCTGCACGCCACTGAGGATAGAAGAAATGAGGGCAGAAAGATAGAAAGAGAGAAACAGATAATCAATTATAAAAATATAGAGAGAGAAATAGTAAAAATAATAATAATGAAATAAGTAATAGTTTAGTGTAATTCTATTTGTTACAGTGGATATTCTTTGCTGTGACATTCTGTCTGTTTATTTGCTCCTAAATTACCCAATGTGTGTAAGGAATGGCTGGCGTTACCATCCACTGTAAGCGCGCAGGACTGAATGCAGGTCAGCAAGATTGTTAGACGTGAACGCTACTGCTGCACAACACAGACAGTAGACAAACTGACAGAGAGAGGGGAAGAAAGAGAGGAGGCTGGAGAAATAGCCAGGGCGATAGAGAGAGAGAGAGAGAGATAGGGGAGGAGAAAGAGAGGAGGATGGAGAAAGAGACAGAGGGCGATAGAGAAAGAGAGAAAGGGGGATGGAGAAAGAAACGGAGGGAATGGACAAGAGGCAGAAGGGGATGGAGAAAGAGGGGGATGAAGAAATAGAGAGAGGGGGATGGAGAAAGACAGACAGGGGTGGAGGAAAGAGAAGAGGGGGTGGAAAAAGAGAAAGAGGTGAGGGAGGGAGAGACGGCAAGAGAGAGAGGGGG